CCACCCCAGAGTACAAGAAGAGCTTTGAGAATGATGCCCAGAGCAGTGACAACATCAACTTCCTCAAAGTGCAATGGTCCTCACGCCAGCTGCCCACGGTGAGGCTGCAGCAGGGCCTGGGCTTGTGGGTGCGGGCACGGAGAGGGGTATGGTAGAGTGCATTCAGGGCCTGCCTGGGAGGGCAGGCAGAGCCTGTGGAGCACATGCGTGTGTGTGTGTGTCAGGGTGGGGGTGAACATGAGTGAGGAGAGGGCTTTGCTTTACTTAGTGGGTGTAGGACCTACAGTTTGTTCATTTGTTGAATAAATACTTAGAACCTTTGCTAAATGTCAGGTCCTGTATTGGCCATTGGGAAATGCAAAAAATTAATTAGTTACAATGCTGTTAAGTGCTATGAGAGGCCTATGCAGGGCTATGTCTTCTACATTAAGGATTTGGGATCTTGCCTTTAGAGTTGAGTGGGAATGATCATGCATGAGCCTGAGGGTAGGGATGGTGGGGGCTTTGTTCCTCACTGGGCCTCTCTGCTCCCCAGCTCAAGCCGATTCTGGCTGACATTGAGTACCTGCAAGACCAGCACCTCCTGCTCACAGTCAAGTCCATGGATGGCTATGAATCCTATGGTGAGGGGCGAGGGGTGTCAAGGAGCACAGGAAGCCACACAGGGCCCTAGAAAAATTTGGCAATTTGTTGGTTTGCCCTTCAGGGGAGTGCGTGGTGGCTCTCAAGTCCATGATTGGCAGCACAGCCCAGCAGTTCCTGACCTTCCTGTCCCACCGCGGCGAGGAGACAGGCAACATCCGTGGCTCCATGAAGGTGCGGGTGCCCACAGAGCGCCTGGGCACCCGTGAGCGACTCTACGGTGGGGGCTCCATTGGGAGGGGTTTGGGGCATGAGATGAGGTGGTGTGGGCAGGTCTAGGAGGGAAGGGCCACGGGTGTGGGGAAGGCATTTTGGAATCCCTGGAATATAGTATTTGGAAGTTCTGCAGCCCTGGCTGGGAGTGGGCCTGCTCTGAGGAGTAGCTGGGAAGGGTCTGGAAGGCCAGTGGGTGCCTGATCAGTCCCCTCTGAGTCTCCTTTCCCTTTCTCCCCCAGAGTGGATCAGCATTGATAAGGATGAGGCAGGAACAAAGAGCAAAGTCCCCTCTGTGTCCCGAGGCAGCCAGGATCCCAGGTGAGCTAGGGCTGTGTTGGGTGTCATGTGAAGGGGTGCCTGGGGGCTTTTGGTCAGCCCCTACTTCATCTCCCCTGCCCTGTTCACCCCTGGCAGGTCAGGGAGCCGAAAGCCAGGCCCCACAGAGGCCTTCTGCCCGCTGTCCAAGTTATTTGAAGAACCAGAGAAACCACCACCAACTGGGAGGCCACCAGCCCCACCTCGAGCTGCTCCCCGGGAGGAACCCTTGACCCCCAGGTGAGAAAAGAACCCATCATCCCCCCCACTTTATCCATCACTGTGCTTGGCTCTCAGAGCCAGTCTGGGGATTGTCTGCTGCTTGGGTGCTCTGCTGCCCCATGGCCCTATGCCATGGCCACTCTGGCCAGCCAGGCCTCCTTTAGTTGTGGCTCTCTGAGTCAAAGGAAGCATAGTCAGCCTTTCCTCTCAATTCTACCTTAAGACAGTGAATTAGAAATTGTTTCTGCAACAGCTCCCTCCACGTAAACAGAATTAGTTTGAGCCTTCTGTGTGGAGAAGGCACACGCCTCCACTTGGGATTTCCCTCTGCTTTCTGTGGAGCCCTGCCCCACAAGTGCGCCCCCTCCCCAGAAACAGGTTTGTGGTCAAATGAGTTTGGGAAATGGTTCTTGCTAGATTCTTTTCTTAGATATTCCCAGTGCACATTAGTATTAGCCAAAGCTCTGAGCATGTGGACAGGAAGGAAACCCTTTTTCAACTCTGTTGAATATAGTTTCCCAAACTCAACAGGCCAGGAAACTTCTTTTCCACTTAATAACTATTAATATCCTGGGGAACTAGTGTTCTGTGGATCATACTTTGGGAAAGTAAGGCTTGCTTTCTGGTTAAATCCAGCTGTTGCTTGAACTTAACTAAAAACTCCTAGGTCCAGCTTGGTGCTTTTTCACTCATCTTCAGCTGTTAGCAGCCATCTTGGTTTATTGCCAGGTTTGTGTAAAACTAGCCTGAATTCCTGAGTGAGTCTTCAGTAGATCAGCTTCAGATGCCTCCAGAGGTTATTCCAAATCAGGGCTGGTCATTCTCATTAAAGGTCTATATTGCCCTGCCTTCTGGCACCTGTTTTCACCCCTTTCAGCTCAGGTTTCAAAGTTACAAAGTCATAAAAGATCTGAGGATCTCAGTGAGTGCAGCAAGGAAGTTTAGATGTTATCCATTCAACTCCTTCTGTTCCCCGATTTTGGAGATAAGGACAGCCAGGGCAGGAGAGGGAAAGTGATGTGCTCAAGGTCACATGCAAGTCTAGGACTGGGAAACATGTCCCTGACTCCCAGTCTACTGCACTCACTGCCTTCACTCTGGGTTTCTGGGTCCTGACTTAATTATCCTGCTCCCTAACCCAGGTTGAAGCCAGAGGGGGCTCCAGAGCCTGAAGGGGTGGCTGCTCCTCCACCCAAGAACAGCTTCAATAACCCCGCCTACTACGTCCTTGAAGGGGTCCCACACCAGCTGCTGCCCCCAGAGCCACCTCCACCTGCCAGGGCCCCTGTCCCACCTGCCACCAAGAACAAGGTGGCCATCACAGTGCCTGCTCCACAGCTTGGGCGCCACCGGTCTCCCCGTGTGGGAGAGGGGAGCTCATCAGATGAAGAGTCCGGGGGCACACTGCCCCCTCCAGACTTTCCACCCCCGCCACTGCCAGACTCAGCCATCTTCCTGCCTCCAAGCCTGGATCCTTTGCCAGGGCCTGTGGTCCGGGGCCGCAGTGGGGGTGAGGCCCGTGGCCCACCACCTCCCAAGGCCCATCCAAGACCCCCACTGCCCCCAGGCCCTTCGCCCACTAGCACTTTCCTGGGGGAGGTAGCCAGTGGGGACGATCGCTCCTGCTCGGTGCTGCAGATGGCCAAGACACTGAGTGAGGTGGACTACGCTCCTGCTGGGCCTGGCCGCTCAGTGCTCCTGCCAGGCCCCCTGGAGCTGCAGCCACCCAGGGGACTGCCCTCAGACTATGGCCGGCCTCTCAGCTTCCCTCCACCTCGCATCAGAGAGAGCATCCAGGAGGACCTGGCAGAGGAGGTGTGTGGACCAGGGGTGGCTGGCTGTGTATACCTGAGGTGTGTGCTTGCCCATGGACTGCGATATCCTTTTACTCCACCATTCACCACTCAATGGTGTCCCTTCTACCCTGAGCTGGGTACTGGGAAATTGGGAGACACATGAATTAAGCCCAGTCCTTGCCTCCCTCCTCCCTCCCCCGAGGATGTGGTAGAATGTGGCTGTCTTTCAGTGCTTTTGTGTGTGTGGGCACCCTCAGTGCTCTCCCTGACATGCCCTATTCCTTCAGGCTCCGTGCCCGCAGGGCGGGCGGGCCAGCGGGCTGGGTGAGGCAGGCATGGGTGCCTGGCTGCGGGCCATCGGCTTGGAGCGCTATGAGGAGGGCCTGGTGCACAATGGCTGGGACGACCTGGAGTTTCTCAGGTGGGGGTGGGGCTGGAGGCAGGTGGGTGGGGCTTGCCCCCGGGGCGCAGCTAGGGGCCCTCTGGACTGCCTAGCCAATCTCTCAACCTTTTTCACCCCTTCCTACAGCGACATCACCGAGGAGGACCTGGAGGAGGCCGGGGTGCAGGACCCGGCACACAAGCGCCTCCTTCTGGACACCCTGCAACTCAGCAAGTGATGGCGGTGGCACTGTGAAGCTGCGAATCCAGCGCCCCTCCCTATCCCAGCCATGGTCCCCGAGTTGAAAATTTATGAGGGGTGGGGCAGTATCTTTCTACCTATTTATTGGGGATCTGTGTTCCCCACTGCCCAATCGTTTGGAATGCCCTGATCAGGATATCCTGCCCCTCCTTTTACACTTGGGGGCACCAGAGATCAGTTGCCGTGGTTACCAAGGACCTTGGTTATTCTGGTGCTGTCCTCTCAGCCCCAAGGGTTACCCTAGAGGGTCCATTTGGGTATGTCTGGGCCCCCACTTTCACCACTGCTTCCTTCGGCCTAAACCACAAGGGGAGGGGCTCAGCTAGGACCTCTCCCCATCACCCACTCTGGGGTGTCCATCCGGAAATGAAGGAACAGCCCGAGTACCGGGCTGGAGTTAATTTAAGATTTTCTGTGTGGGTTTAGGGAGGGCAGGCACTTTAATATTATTGGGGCTGGTTGGGGGTGGGGGTGGATCTCTGCCATAAAGTGCCAGTTTGCTTTGTTCTCACTGTCTTCTGGTCTATGCGTAGCAGCCTCGGGTCCTCGCTGGTTGCAAGGGAGACTCAACTCTTGCAGGCAGCCAACCTATCCCCATCCTGGGTACTCAGAGGGGTTACCAGCATGATGTCTTCAATAAATTAAGTTTTATTTGGATTGAGCAAAACTCACCTCAATAAATTACAAGTTTCTCAAAGGAAAAAAACAACAAAACAAAACAAGAAGTGGAGAGGAAAGCCCTCTGTCCCACCGCCCTGGCAGACCCTCCACTCCTCTAAGGGGCTTGCCCTCTGGGCCGGGCTGGTTGCCAGATGGGAGGAAATGCTGAGGGATACACGGGTGCGACCCTTCAGGCTGCTGATTATGGGTGGGCCTGAGGGGGTGGGGCAGCTGGCTGGTCACCAAGGTGAGGAGTGACCCAGCCCTCTGCAAAGTGAGGGGCAGGGCCGGCTGTTCCTCTGAGGACCCTCACGTTCGAGCACTGCTAGGGACGGGCAGTTATTTGATCCCGGCTCCAAAGAAAGCCAAGTTAGAAGGGCCTCCGGGCTCTCCTTTGGGGGGGAGGGGGTCCCAGTGAAAAGTACCCCACTCTGCTGGGTGGGTGTGGGTGAGGACAAGAGTGGCCCTGACTTGGTCTCCAAAACTGGGGAGAGGACACCTAGGGGTCAGACACGGCGGGAGGTGGGGTCGGATAGGGACTTCAGGCAGGCCGCAGGGTGGGGAGGGGCTGTCAGGTCTTGGAGGGGCAGGGGCGTCTCTGGGGCCAGGCCCGGAGCCTCCAGAGTCCGGCCGCTAGAAGAGATTGGTCTTCAGGGTGGGCCCGGGCTTCCGGTGAAAGGAGGACAGGACCCCGGAGAAG